TGCCCTGGTCTGTACCTTGGTCTATACCTTGGTCTGTATCTTGGTCTGTACCTTGGTCTATATCTTGGTCTGTACCTTGGTCTGTATCTTTGTCTGTACCTTGATCTCTACCTTGGTCTATAAAATGCACTATAAAAATAAACATTACTACTATTAAAATGTGTATAAATGAGCATTCTTACTGGTCCTTACTGGTCCTTACTGGTCTGTGAGTGGTTCTGACTTCCTCTGGCCTCTCCACCTCCCTGAACCCGGTCACTGTCCCAGTTTAAAGTTCATGAAGTCTGCAGAGTCTGTGGAACATATTATTTAAATCTGATTTGTCTGTTCTTTCCTCCGCACTCGTCTCAAAAGCTAAAGAAGAGAATAGTTCTGAGAGCATATCACGGAGATGATTATTTTGCGGAATGGAACTCCAAATTAAATTCAGATGAGATGAATGTTTTAATCAATTGGCAATCAGGAGATGACTCAGATTGATTCAGAATTTTTTATTGTCAACAAACAATTTCCACCGCTGCGAGTCCCTGATTCACATCTGAGGCCGTCGGAGACAAATGGGATTCTGAAGAGACAGAGATTCATCACGTCTGGTCTGGGTTTTACAGCACTACTTTGTGGATTTGTTTGTGTTTGAGTGTTTCTGAGTTTATGCAAATGAAAGAATATTTAGTGTCGACACGAGCGATTAAATAAGTACAGATACATGTAGTGATCTTCCTTTTGAAAACTCTATTTTACTGTGTTTTAGTTTCCTTTTAGTTTGAATAAAAGTAGAATATAAATAAACTGTATATACAAAAACTGATTACAGTAAATTCCAGACTATGAGACACGGCTTGTTTCTGTATTTTGAAGACTGTGGCTTATAGTCAGGTGCGGCTTAGTCATTTTTTCTTTCCTTGTGGTAAGTAACAGTCAACCAACAGAAGTGATGGAATGCTACCTTTTTGAAAAAGCATTATTCATGGCGGCACGGTGACTGAGTGGATAGCACTCTCGCTTCTCAGCAAGAAGGTCCTGGGTTCGAATCCCGGTGGGATCAGGGCCTTTCTGAGAGGAGTTTTCATGTTCTGTGAAGGTTTCCTCCGGGTACTCCGGTTTCCCCTAACACTAAAAACATGAACAACAGATCTGGCATGCGCCTCCTGTACTGGCGACCCTGCTCCCATCTCTGTGTGGACTGAGAGGACAAAAGCCCAAAAAATAACAATTGTAAACCGCTTTGACTCTGGTCTGTGAAAGGCGATATACATAAATATGACTTAATACTACATTTTACTTTGGACCAGAGCAGAGAAAATGGTCTGAACCAAGAGGCTGCTCCACCTCTGCTGCTGTGAGCTGAAGGACTGTTGTATTTTATTATCACTATTGTTAGATACTTTTAGAATTATCTACAGAACAGTGCAAGTTTGGACACCCTCTCTCCTTCACTGAGTTATTTTTTCATGACTATTGGCTATAGATCCACATCAGGCTGTGTAAGGGCTGTTTGACCAATAAGGAGAGTGATGGTGCTGGGCCACATGACCTCCACAGTCACCGGACTTGAATTCAGTCCAGATGGTTTTGGGGCTGGACCACAGAGTGAAGGGGCCAACAAGTGCTTTTGGTCAGTACTGTATTTATTAGTTCTGTTATGTGTTTCTGCTGCTGTTGGACACCTGCATTTCTCCAACATGGAGACATGCATCTATCTATCTACACTGGTGCGTCTGAGCCTCGAGCCATCACCATTCACCCATTCATCACATTCATCTCTGTTGTTCATGTATTTTCCACAGAAAGGACTCATCTGTGAAGCACAAGTGTTCAAAATCCCAAATCAAATGAAAAGAGTTTGTTTAGCTTAAGAATCTTCATTCAATTCAATGCACTGTATTTTTCTATCGCCCTAAACCACGACAGAAACCACCTCGACTTTACAAAGAGGTCGATCAGAGAAATGAAATAATAATAATACATCTAAATCATTGAAAACACCTGGATGTTTTGTGAATGTGAAAAGCCTTGAGAAAAACGCTCTGCCATGAACAACTACGTCTTCAATGTCAACGGGTCAAACTTCTGCTCGTTCACATCAAACCCTGAATTGGATCTGAAGGAAAACCAGGCTCACTTTTGAAAGCTGCTATTCATGTGTTTCTGAACAAATACTGAGTCACCTCCGAGTGTGAGGCCAAGTGCCAACCCCAACACCGCAGAGAGTGACATCACCTGCTGCCTTTACACACTCAATGCACACTCTATTCAGACTCTATACACACTCTATACACACTCTATACACACTCTATACATGCTCTATACACGCTCTATACACATTCTATACACACTCTATACACGCTCTATACATGCTCTATACACATTCTATACACATTCTATACACATTCTATACACGCTCTATACATGCTCTATACACATTCTATACACATTCTATACACATTCTATACACGCTCTATACACACTATACACACTCTATACAAACTATACACACTCTCTTTATACACACTCTTTACACACTCTATACACACTTTTAAAATTCTCTTTGTGTCGTGATTAGGCCGTCACTATGCAGCTAAGTATTCTTGTGTCGCCTTGAACGATGTGTGTCGATAAGAGCAGGTTATTACATCACTGGAAGAAAAGCAGTTTATTTGTTTCAAAACCGTATTTGAACTTGAACCTTCGGCTGTCTGTACAACCAACCTGGATGAGTCTTCTCCTGTAGGACACCAATCCATCTATCTATCTATCTACCTGTCTGTCTCTGTCTTTTTCCGCGTTCAGACCGGATCACGCGTTGAGTCGGCTTTCAATGCAAAGTCAATGGTGACGCTCGTTCGAGCGTCAAAGCGCACGAACCTCTCGGAATGCACGCACGGACCGTGCTGGGAAGTCGAAGGGGAGGAACGCAGGAGATGGATTTTGCTCAACCTTTCCTTGGGATGTTTGTGCAGCAACCAATCAGAGAGCCGCAAAGTGGTCACGGGGAAATTAGTGGTCTGAGCGAGCAGACTGAAAATACTCGTAAACAGCCAAAACAGGAGCTACATTAGGACTAGACCAGGGGTGACAATGGGGGACATAGTGCTTGTTAACATGTGAGTTTTCATGCTCCCGTGACTTTATGCAACTGCTTCGAGTGTGTTCGCCGATGCGAAAGTACCATTTAATAATAAAATAAACTTATTGCGCACCTCGGTGAACACATACTACTGTTATATAAAGTCCGTGGAAGGTCTCTGGACACAGACACGCTGCAAAGCTGCATTATTGGAGAAGATCTTTACACAAGAAGCCGCTAGCTAAACTCTGTCAGCATCAGAGCCCGCCGGCTACTTCCGCCACTTACGGCGCGCGCCAGGACTTCTGGTCTGAAGACCCCTGCGTCTGAAAACTAGAGAATGTGCGTTTCATCGTTGCCGGTCTGAAAGCACCATTTGAGAGAAGTAGGGAAAAATACTCTTGGTGTGGCGTTTTTGTATCATAAAATCAAAGAAGGTCAGTCCAGATCACAGCATTTAGTGCATGTACTATTTATGCTTTTAACGAGACAAAATAAAACAATATTAGTGATTTCAATGGTTTTGTTAAATCCTCTGCGATGACCGCTGTTGTAATTTAGGGCTATACAAGAATAAGTTGTATTGTATGTAAAACTACTCTGGTTTGACTATTTAACAAATGTTTCTTTATTACAAATATCAAAACAGTTGCATTTTATGAGGGTACAAGTGTCTTGGTTGGACACCGAAGACACAGAAGACTTCCAAATAAAAGTGAGGCACAAATATGTTGAGTGGACGAAGGTCGAATGTTTTCCTTGTTTTGGCAAAAACCTATTTTTTGTTGACTTTTGCTGCAGAAGGAGGATTCAGGCATGTTTAAAGCCTGTGGCCTTCCAGTCTTTCAGTCCTGGTTTAGACCTGCTGCACACCTGCTTCTGTCCTGCTTCAGTCTTGCTTAAGTCCTGGTTAAGTCCTGCTTTGGTCCTGTCTCAGCCTGCTTTAGTCCTGCTTGGTTCAGTCCTGCTTTAGTCCTGCATAGTTCAGTCCTGGTTCAATCCTGTCTCAGTCCTGGTTACAATACAATACAATACAATTTATTCTTGTATAGCCTTAGGTCACAACAGAAGTCATCTCAGAGGACTTAACAAAACCATTGAAATCACCAACACAGGTCAGAGAATCAACAGTTAAAACACATGAAAAATATAAAGCACACACAGAAGAAAATGTCCATACATGTTGTAGAATGCTAAAGTGTCCTGATCATCACTAATCCTTTCTGTTGGACACTAACTGTCCAACAAGACCCTCCTGCATCGACAAGGAAAAACTCTTAAAAAACCCAGTGGGAAAACTAGGGAAACCCACAAGGAGGGAGACCCATTTGAGAAAGGGATCAGCTCCTCCGGACGGACAGGCTAATGATCTAGGACCTAAGCTAGCTACAGAACGTGGACCAGTGGCTGCTGAATGTGGACAGGTCCGGTGCAGGACTAAAGCACTCCCAGGCGGGTCGGGCGGGGCAGTCCGCAGGTGTAGATGGAGGAAGCCAGGCTCAGAGATCCTGTCATCGTACCATGGTTCAACTCTACTCCTGAGTTAGTCCTAAAAGTGGTCAAAGATTCTTCTTCTCTTCCACAGACTCTGAGGCCACGCCTCCGGTCCTCGTAAGTTCAGAGCACAGGCCCCAAAAGACGAAGGAGAGTTGTTTATCAGAAAGTTTTAATTGTGGTACAGCTGTAGATGAATTCCATAAACCCTTGTTTTCTATGTTGTGCATTTATTTAACTGCTTTGCATGAAATGATTTGGATTCCACGTCGTTACTACTTTGCTCTTGAAGGCTCCATTCACAGACAAACATTCTAATGGAAAATCTAATTACTCAGATCTAATACTCGGATCCCCATTCTCCGGCTTAAATCCGGACTGTCGGCTCCCTTCCCCTGCATGCTCACTGTTCCACATTGCAGGAATTCAGTGTTTTGATTTAATCCTGGCTCCAGGTTCTGATCCGGACAGGTTCTGATCCAGATGTGCAGCCATCGTGAAGAGCAGATCCCAGTGAGATCGCACCAGGATCAGAGGCAAACAGAGTGTAGCTGTGGGATGTGTGAAAGAGGAGAACACACAACATGAGGTTATTTGGAGTTTGAGACGACCGCCCGGTGCTGCTGGTTTTACGCTGGATTAAGATTTAGCTGAAAAAATGAATTTGGAGATTCTGCTTCTTATTGAGGCTTGGCAGAATCTGACTCTGCGAAGCTTTACGGTTTCTCTCTCGATGTTCTTTATTGACTTGGTTTTCCGTGTTTAATGCTGCGATGTCTACTGTAACTGTCAAACACAAAGAAATACGAGAAATGTGTAAAAGAATCCAGTTCCTCGCTTTCAGAACCGACTGCTTCTATCGCCTCGTTTTCACACGTTTGGAAAAGAAATGGTAAAAACGGGACCACCCTCACTCCACCAACCTCCTCTCAGTCTAGAGCATCAATAAGTGACTAATGAGGGTATTTCTTAAAAGTCTTTAAATAATGTTGTATTTTAAGATTACATTTTACATTTTAGAGACACTTTCTACGGTGAACAACATAGTATTCAAATAGAAAACACAGAAATGAACGGCTATGTCACCAGACTCATCTATAACTGGGATTTAGAGAGGAGGATTTTCTACAACCAGGAGGAGCAATAGCTGTCAATCATTCTGGTGATATGTGCTCATCCAATAAGAGCAGAGAGTTTTGTTCATAAAGTGGAGAGGGCGGTTCTTTCTTAAATTTGTTTATTTCCTATAAACCTTTAAGTAACTTTTCTATTCAATTTCAAAGAGGATAAAATTCAATGAACTCTTTCCCTGCTATGCTATGATTAGCACTCTCACTTCTCAGCAAGAAGGTCCTGGGTTCAGATCCCGGTCAGAACAGGGCCAGGAGTGGGGTTTACATGTTCTCCCTGTGCCTGCATAGGTTTCCTCTGGGTGCTCCAGTTTCTCCTTTTAGTATGAAACATGTACAATGAGTGAGTGAGTGAATGGATGGTATTTGGTCGGAGGCTTTGATGGACCAGTGTGTTCAGGTCACTTCAGCTAACTTCATCACTGTATGGAGAGAATAGAACAATATCTGATTTCTGAACTTTGTGAAGCACTTTGGATGAACCTTGGTCTGTAAAATGTGCTATATAAATAAAAAATACTTACTTAAAAGTACCTGTGTGTGTTACAATGGCCCTAAAGAGGAACCATTCATCCACATCCACACACTTATGAATGCACATTAAATGACCTGCTCTGGTCTGTGTTGGAGATTTCAATGGTTTTGTTAAGTCTCTGAGATGAGGCTGTTGTGATATAGGGAAATACAAGAATAAATCGTATTTTAATGTTTTTTCATCCGTCCATTTTCAACAGTTATTTTTACCTCGTCACATCTACAGACTGCAGTAGAAGTAAAACTTTTCTCTACAACCGTTTGACTTGTTAATGTAGTTCACCCATGTCATTTTTATTCACTCGTTTGCAAGTCTGTGGAAGGCGCTATATGAATAAAGATGACTTAGTTACGCTCTCATAAATAGTCGCAATGAAAGAAGAGAGAATGTATTTGTCATGTAAGACTTTACCAGCCTTTTTATACTGCCTTTTTAGATGGCTGGATATGTTTAGTTTTCACTCAGAGCTGTAGAAGTCGCTCGATTTCCCAGAAAGAAACAAATGAAAAATCAAACAGAGGTGACAGCCCTTCACTGTTTAACTCACTCTAGGCCAGAACCACCAGGAACCAGATCAAAGATTACAGAGATCAGAGAAAGCTTTTCACTGCTGCAGACACAGGGAGAACATTCAAACTCCTCTCAGAAAGGAGGTGAAATACAACCTCTGCTTGGTTACAGTGAGATGATCGGTGATATTTACTATTATTTTATATTCCACACTCAACTGTAACATTTTATGATTTTTTATGATTAAAGAAGTCTTTGTAAAAACAGCCACAGTCGAAGTAAAAAAAGATTATATTGTTCTAGAACCTTCATCTTTTTGCGACCTTTTTGTGGGACACTTAGAACCAGTTTCAGCCTGTTCTCTGAGGATTACTGCACTTTTCCAAATCTCCACTAAATGAAGCCGGCGATGGTTTCTTTGCACGATTCACATTTTCTTTGAGTTTTTGGACACTTTGTAACTGTCCTTTTTCTTTTCCTTTTGTCTATTTCCAGAGTCCACTGTAATAAAATGTACTGACAGGTTTCATCACGCCCTAACTCCGCCTTTAATTATTCATCTGGTCTTGTAAACTCCCAGAGAAGAAGTCTGTCTCACATTTTCCGGAAGACTATTCCAGTTTTAGCATGAATCTGAAACGTTGCCTCCTGACTCTGGGATCAGCAGGAGGCCAGTCCCTGTGCTCCTCAGAGTCAGAGTTGGTTCATATGAGACAAACATGTCACTTCTGTACTTTAATTTTATCCAGGTGTTTCAGTTTTTTATTTGTTAATAAAGTTTAAATTATCCAATACATTTCGTTCCACTTCACGATTGTGTCCCACTTGTTGTTGATTCTTGACAAAAAATGTAATTTTTATATCTTTATGTTTGAAGCCTGAAATGTGGCGAAATGTTGAAAGATTCAAGGGGGCCGAATACTTTCGCAAGGCACTGTACGTATACGGTGCAGGGTCTGCCACAGGTTGTTCATGCATATGTAAAAATAAATATACGCTATATACGCTACGCTATTTATTCAGCTGCGTTTTGTGCAAATTTGAAAAAATGTTGATTGATAATATCAATGAATTGATAAATTAGAAAAATCTCTCTTGAATTGTAGAAGTGAATAAATAAAGAATTAATTAATGAATTAATATATATTGTGCAGCGATGGCTCTCATCAATGAAGCGTCTGTAGTGTCTTGTGAATGCAAAGAAGCGCTGTACACTTGCGAGAGCGTTTGCGGTCCAGATTTTACAGAGAAACTCTGGAGCCAAAACTTCTGAATGACAGCATTTGAGGAGTTATGTGGCGCGTCTCTCATGGCACCTGCTGTGGATGCACTCCCAAGAGTGTGCAGCGGGTGGACAGGACAGTGAGACATTTGGAGTGAGCAATACCATAGTCCATCGGTCCATGCGTTAATGGGGTGTGTGTCTATGTGAGGCTTACACAAATCTAATGAAAACATACATTGCTTTACCAGATGTGAGGAATACAAATAGCCGTGCGTAATTACGCAGCGCAGAGCCTGCCACAGCAATAGCTGGGTCACACATCCCTGTCGCGTAAAGTGTATTTGTATAGAGCCTTTCACAGTCCAGGATCACAAAGCGCTTCACATTTTAAAAACATACAGATCAAAATAATACACACAGAAGTCAGATATAAAATCATAGAAACAGAAGAGCCTCCTCATCATGATCTGTGATTTATTCAAAGTTTGCGTGTTTCCAGAGTGTTAGACTTTTTCTGATGCGCAAATTCCAATTCCGAAACATGATGCTTCATGAAAACGCAGCTTATAATATTGCCAGAGTGGGAACATGTTTATTGTTGTCCATATCTTGAATTTCATGCGTGTTTTGGCGTGTTGTGACAAAGGTTGAAATGAGCGTACACATTTACACCACCTATTGAGTTGGTGTAAATTCTGTGCGTATCGTACGCTCACGTCCAGATTGATAAATGCGGAAAAGTGTAGATTTGTTGCGTACACATCATTTGCACCCTAATTTGGCCGTACGCAAGTTTCATACATGAGGCCCCCTGAAACTATCAGAGGAGTTTTGAGCGCTGCCGCTGGTGCTGTTGCTGGTGCTGTTGGACAGTGTGGACTGGTCCTGCGCTCTCAGTCTGGTACTGATGGTAAAGCAGGTGTTGTGACAAAGCTGCAAATGGAGCTGATGATTTTTGGACATTTGACTGTATTTTACACAGAGACACTGCTGCAGTCGTTAAGAATGGATCACGTTATGGAAGTTGTTTTGTTCATTTCAACTGAATCATGGTCACTTTGATGCTTTCTCTCTGATAATAACATAACCATGGACCTTACCACACTTAAGATGGTTAAGCTGAAGTGCTGTGTTAAAGTGCTTTTTTCTATCTACCTACTTTACCTTTGTGATCAAGTTTTCTCTGTAATGAGCCTTAAAACAAAGCTAACAGACAAATATTAATATAAATACTGTGAAATACCATTTTCAATCTAATATTGTAAATACATTACATTATTTGCACTTTAAAAAAGTAACTGTTACATTTAAGTTTGTAGCAGATTTACAGTTAAAACTGAGTGAGTAAAGGACAGTGTTTTAAAGGAAGTTTTAAATAAATGTGTTTGTGTGCACAAAAAGTTGGACTTTGTACCGTTTTGGGTATTTTTGTAGACCATCTTCTGGTCCGGCCCGGTTGAGATCCAATTAGGTTGTTTGGCCCCCGGACCAAAATGAGTTTGACACCCCTGTTATGATCTTGTGTTTTGTTCTTATTTCATGTTCAAATAATCTTAATTCATTCATGAAGAGCTGTTACTTTACAGATTCCAGGGACCACTGTTGTTGTAAATGTGAGAAAAAATGCTTTCGTTGTAAACATTTAATAAACGAGTTGTAAAATTTGCATCAGCGAGATTATCTCTGAAAGCACAGAATCTTCTTCTTAATCGGAGGAAGATGTGGGAAAGAGAAACACTGACAGCTTCATCCATATTCATGACCAAGACAGACACCTCCAAACAACAGTATCTCCTCCTTCCTTTCTCGTCTCCTTCTTTCTTTCTCGTCTCCTCCTTCTTCATTTCCTCGTCTCCTCCTCCTTCTTTTCCTCGTCTCCTCCTTCCTTTCTCATCTCCTCCTTCCTTTCTCGTCTCCTCCTTCCTTTCCTCGTCTCCTCCTTCCTTTCTCGTCTCCTCCTTCCTTTCTCGTCTCCTTCCTTTCCTCGTCTCCTCCTTCCTTCCTCGTCTCCTCCTTCCTAATCTCGTCTTGGCCCTGATTTTCCCACTTTTTCTTTTTAATTGCTCTGAAGCTACACTGCACACGGTTCACGCTCAATCTCCCACATGTCGAAGTAGATGCATATTTTATCAACAGCAATTAACAATTTACATGAAAATGACGGTTATGTTATATAGTGACTAAAATAGAATTGGCAGATCCACGTTATCAGTATGTTTACAAAGTATGTTTAAAAAGGACTGGGAACAAACTGGTTATGGGTAGAGGCAAAGCAGCTTCCTCTGGGGAATAAATGACAGGAAAAACCTTTCTGTATTGGTCGCTGATGTTTTAGAAAATCAAACTGAACAGTGTCACTCAAATGTGGAGAGAGGAAACTCCAAAGCCTTGACCCTGCAGCTGTGCTCAGAGCTGATCCTGCAGCTGTGCTCAGTGCTGATCTTACAGCTGTGAGTTTCAAAGCAAAGTCAACGGCTACGTCTGTCCATGTGAGGAAGAGCATGGATGTCGCAGCAGATGCTTTGTTGCGGCGCACCAGCGGCGGGTTCAGCAGAGAGATGCAGCGAGAGCCGGAGATAAACCTCCTCAATCCACACACGTGCGGCGACCAATCAGAAAGCAGCAAAGTTCCAAATAGATCCAAACAGACACTCGAAAACAACTAAACCAGGTCTAAACCAGGACTGAACCAGGACTGAACCAGGACTAAACCAAGACTAAACTAGGACTAAACCAGGACTAAACCAGGGCTAAACCAGGACTGACAGTGGGGTCAGTGCTTTTGAACATATGTCTGAGTTTATCCTGAGACTGTAACAAGTGATGCTAACGTGTTGCTGATACAGAAGTAACGCGTTAGCATGGAAGCTCCACCCACCACTTCCGCCCTGTGTTTTTCCCCAACGCAGTCTGTCAGATTGACTAAGCTCATGCAGCTGATACTTAGTGCATGTGCGTCCATTCGTTAGCCTCTGAACACAACCTAACCCTGACCCGCCCACAGTGGGACCAGCGACAGGTCCAGTCCCAGTCCCTGGACAAGTCTCTTTAACCTGCTCTGGGAAATGTCCATTGTGTGCTCTTGTTTACAGTGCACCTTATTTCCAGTATTTTCAATTTCCAGTTGAGCTAAAGCACATTCCCTAGTTTGTGACTTCCAGTTTTTTACAATAAAAAATATGAAACCAGAGTCTAAAAGACTGGACTGTCTACTTTCAGCAGCAAAAATAAGTTTGTTTTTAGCTTGTTTCGTTCTCCTGTAATCTCCAGTCGAAAATATGGGAGTGTGACAAAAAGCTGAGAAAATGAGGTGTTTGTGAAAACGAACGGACCTGCAGAAAAGGGACTGTAACAGTAGTTAGTTTAACTTTACTATCTCTTCAAACATATCCAGGATCATACATGTTAGAAACCAGCAACAACAAGTTATGAGAATGTGTTTTTGATGCAAAATATTATGTTTTATGGCATACACACCCGCAATAGAATACTGTTGTGTGTCTTTGTGTGTTTGGGCGCGAATGTATGCGTTTATGCGCACATTTGTGTGCATTTGTGTGGTTACATCTACAGAGTGTTGTTCGGTTTAGTTCAGCGAGCCTGTGTCCATAGCTGGACTTTGCCGCTGGCTCCTGGTGCGGACTCAGTGATAGTTTTAGCAATAGTCCACTTTTCTGTGGCTTTTTTGGGGTGCACTGCTGGTCTGCTGCTCTGACCCTCCACATGGTCTGCTGTCCTGACCCTCCACATGGTCTGCTGCGCTGACCCTCCACTTGGTCTGTGTCAGCTCTGGAGACACATTTACTGCTCAAACTGCCTCCAAATGTAGCCTGACCCTGACTATATTACTCCATGCCTGCTTCACCTCCGTCTCTCCTGCTCGGAGTGCTCAGGCAGTGATCTTTGACCAAGACACCCACAGAGCTCTGCTGCCACATGCTGGCTTAATAAAATACTGTCTACAGCCTATACTGTATATGATACACAGACACAGACTGACAGGAAAAGATGTTGACGTCAATCGTCGTTAATCTCAATGGTACTTTCGTGGTTAAATAAAAATAAAAAATGAAAAATATGTTACTATTTTTTTCAGTGATTTTTTGGCGTACCCCAGAGGGACCCCTAGGGGTACAAGTACCCCACTTTGAGAACCACTGCTCTAAATTAAAGCTGGGAAATCTAGCTTTCCCCTTACGTTGTGTAAAATGCTGTGAACAAATCTGACCACAACAGGCCGTCTTCATCTTAATAAATATATTTTAAACATACTGTGACAGCCCGGTGACAATTACATAACTTTGTTCATAAATTATTGTTTAGTGGTTCCTATTAAAATATAGTTATTGTAACATAATCTAAGAATAAAAATGGCCATGATATAATAGAACACATTATACAGTTTATTTTTCTCCACAAAACTTTCTCTACAGCAGGCCTTGTACTTGGCTGCAGCATATTTTCACCTTGAGATATTCAGCTGACAGAGTCCGGGCCTAAAGAGATGAACAGTATAAGCATAGGAGCGTTAGCATAGCAGTGTTGGCAAAGCAGCGCTAACATAGTAGCACTAGCATCTCCAGGAGAGCGCTCCGTCCTCCACAAGTGTGTTTGTATGCACAGACCCGGACACTGGCCCCGGACACTGACCCTGGCCACTGACCCTGGCCACCTGTCCCAGACCCTTCAGACCCTGCACTGGTGACTGATTAACCTGCTAAAGTAAGAAGGGTTATCTGCATGACTGAGTGCAAACGGAAAGCCTCGGTCTGGGCCTCGTCGAGTCTGAAAGACAAACACACAACACCTGCATCACTCTGTCTTTTAGAACTCACCTCCACAAACACTCTGAGGTCATTACTGTTTATGCTTCTGCACCGTGGGAAGGGTTGGTCTGTTGTCATGGACTACAAATGTAAACTTTAGAATTAACACGCTCTATTCTTGCAAAAGCACAACTTACAAACTCACAGATGTTGTACTGCACTAGATTATACTAGTGTTGCCACAATAAAACACTTACACACTTCCAACACTAAGCCTCAGTCCTGGGTCTACAGCCTCAGTCCTGGGTCAGCCCCGGGTCTACAGTCTCAGTCCTGGTTCTACAGTCTCAGCCCTGGGTCTACAGCATCAGTCCTGGGTCTACAGCATCAGTCCTGGGTCTACAGCATCAGTCCTGGGTCTACAGCATCAGTCCTGGGTCTACAGCATCAGTCCTGGGTCTACAGCATCAGTCCTGGGTCTACAGCCTCAGTCCTGGATCAGCCCCGGGTCTACAGCCTCAGTCCTGGTTCTACAGTCTCAGCCCTGGTTCTACAGTCTCAGCCCTGGGTCTACAGCATCAGTCCTGGGTCTACAGCCTCAGTCCTAAATCTACAGCCTCAGTCCCAAATCTACAGCCTCAATCCTAGGTCTACAGCCTCAGTCCTGGGTCTACAGCCTCAGTCCTGGGTCTACAGCCGTCAAGTGCACCCCGAACCATATAGCTTTCCCCACTTGAATAGGAAGGACTCTGACACCACTTTGGGCCGGTTTTACTCAGTTTATTGAACTTTTCAGAAAACAGCAAAACCTTTAAACAGAAAGAATTTATGTGATTAGTAATAATAGAAAACATTTAAGGGATTTTAAAATGTATTTTTAACTCAATTTAAAAATAGTGACACTTAAAATATCACTATTTTAAGTGTCGTTTACTGTTGAAGGTTATTTGCTATTTTAAATGCACATTTATCTAAATGGGTTTCAAAATTAATTGTTTTAACCAAAGATCTCATATTATAATGGATTTTAACAAATTATCATGAACTTTATTCACTATATTTTGTAGTAAATAATAATTAATAAAATTAAAAATTATAATAATTAAATATTTTACGTTCACTTTCACATTTCAGTATATCAGTTCACTGTTATCAGTTAAAGATGTATTCAAAAAGAGCATGATTTAATAACGCCTTTTGAAATATTGGGGCACTTTAATGATGACTTGACATGCAAATATTTCATATTGCTACTTTAAGAATAATTTGTCTGTTTTTACCTTTAACTTAAATCAACTTTTATACTAAAAACTGTTTTAATATAATGTATTATTTTTAGCAATTAATGATAATAGAAACTGAAATATAATAGCTTTATAATGGTCCAATTAGTACAGTCAAATATTTTAACTTAGAATTAGACCGTTTAAGGAGCCCAAAATAAATATACAAGTCCATTGCTTATGGTCCGTGGTGAGTTGCGAAAGTTACGCACGGTCTTGAACGCCTCTTGAAGCCGTATTTAGAGCACTCGCGCTATTTCGACCCTGCGCCACATATAGGGCGGATCGCTGTTTGTAAACAAAGCGGCAAATCCCGCGCATGCGCGTTGCACTGGTGGGCAAAAGAGCGGTAGAAAACAATGGATCCTGAAGTGTCAAAGTCAAACACGCAAGCAATAGACCCGTTATCTGACGATCTGAAATTGTCAGATTATGCTTCAAAGCTACCAGTCGATGCACGAAGGCGTTATGTTGTCAAATTGTTGTACAATTTTGGTCAATGCATGCTTCCGGACCCATATCTACTTGGGTCCGAGTGGAGGAATGACGCTAGCCTGTGGCCAGAGATTGAGTATCCAGACATTTTTGCCTATCTCATCGAAAGTCCAGGACATTATACGAGGGAGACACTGAAAGCCTACAAGTCTCTTGATGCATACAGGTAATTGTAATACACAACTTATAAATAATGTTTTCTGGCGTTAGCCTGTGCTGCGTTTACTCGCCAGGATTAGCCACATTAAGCTACATCCTGCTACTGATCAACAAGTTGTAATGTATATTATAGTGGTCATGAGAATTATTTATGAATTACTTGATTTTAAATGTTTTCACAATGTGGTATTGAATAATGCTATATTTTCAGGTTTGTCGTCAGTGGGCACGTCCAAATGGTAGAGTACCATCAAATCAGCGAAACATCCCCATACTGCGCGTTAAGAGCCAAGGTTACTCCATCCCAGCGTGTGACAGAGAAACCGCATCAGCCATGGGTGTACCTCAACAAAAATACTGCTGCTGTGTTCTGTGCCCATTGTACTTGCGTGGCTGGGTAAGTCAATATTAGTAACGTTTCTCCAATTTTGACATGCATTTAAATAAAAAATAACATTAGTATAATTTCTATAATCTTCTGTTTTTATTACTGTGTTGCTTTTCTGGTAGACATACTATTTAAACACTTATGCATTATGTTTATTTATTTATTTTAGCCTGGGAGAGGTCTGTAGTCATGTGGCAGCCTTGTTGTTCAAGATGGAAATAGCAGTCCGCCTTGGTTTGACATCACGATCCGTTACAGACGAGAGCTGCAAGTGGAACAACACTTTTCGAAAAGAGGTAATAATTCATTATAAAAATAAATAGTTGATTCTTTGTGAATATGTATTTTTTAAATTACATTGAATAATCAGTGTCATTGTATGATGTTGCATGGAATTGAGATACCATTACGCCTTTCGATTTAATAAAAAAAAGCTTTGACATTTGCAGCTGGAGCCCGTGACCATCACCAATCTCCAACACCTGATAAAGGGTAAGAGGACCAAGCCAGTACCCTCCATTGTTCCATCTGGTAAAGACAGTCTGCCTGACCTCAGCATTCTCCAGTCACTTCATGCTGTCTGCCCAGATGCAGTTTTCTTTACAACAATTCCTCGCCTGGATCCAGAAGAAACAGACACGGAATCAGAAACTGAACACCTCAATGAAATTGTCCGTCCCCTGAGAGACCTGTATCAGGAGCAGTCAGAGGAGGTCAGTGACGACAAACTGAAGATCATCTGGGCCACTTACCGATGCACAGCTGAACATGCAAAGGAGTTGGAGCTGGAAACAAAGGGGCAGGCTGTATGTCCATTGTGGTTTGAACAAAGAAAAGGACGAATCACTGCGAGCAAGGCCCATGATGTTCTTGTGAGAAAAGACCAAACAGACCCAGACAAACTTGTACAGCTAATATGTGGCAGCAAGTGTTACGACTTGTCAAATGTAAAGCAGGTCAAGTGGGGAGTGAACAATGAGGAAAAAGCTAAATCTGCATATATCAATCATGTAAAAAACTGCCACAAGAACCTGAACGTACAGAATGTGGGTTTACTGGTGGACCACGAAAATCCATTCCTGGCAGCCTCCCCAGATGGCCTTGTGTCATGTGACTGCTGTGAGAAGCGACTGCTTGAAATTAAGTGCCCTTACAAACACAGGGACAAAGTCATCCAAGATATAACAGATAAGGACTTTTGTCTTTGTTCTGACTATAAGCTTAAAACCTCACACCGATACTTTACACAAATTCAGTTACAAATGTACATATTCAAACTGATGTTTTGTGACTTTGTTGTATACACAAACAAGGGGTTTATTGTGGTCTCTATTGGTTTTGATGTAGAATTTTCTGCATTGTTAGTGGAAACATGCAAAAGATTTTTCTTAAAGTTTGTATTAAAAGAACTTGTAACCAGGAAACTAGAAAATTTAAAATCTGTGGATACACAAACTGAGGTTGTTGAGGCTGGTGGCACAAAAGTGTGGTGTCTATGCAAAGAACCGGAGTATGGACGCATGATTGAATGTGGAAACACTGACTGTCCCACACAATGGTTCCACTATGAATGTGTGAACATCAGAAGATGTCCAAAGGGAAAGTGGTTATGCCCAGAATGTGCATAGTAATATGTAGCAGTAATATGTGTTTTTCTATTTTACTTAAGTTGATATTGTTAATATATTAATATTGAGTGATGAATATATTCACATCTGACTAAATGTCAATGATCAGAAACCATAAACATTAAGACATAGAAGCTTAGGAATGTGTGTGTACTTGTGTTACTAGTATACTTTCGAGGTTAATTTGATCATACTCTAGGATTAGAGATGTTGAACTCTTTTGCCTTTACATGTTTCAGCCACCATCTGCAGGCCTGCATCAGAAATGAAGCTCTTCGCGAAAGTTCACTGTGGTAGACCCGGCCACTGCTGCCAGATCTACAAGCCTGCTCATCCTCTACTCATTACACCAGCAAAACGCCCACATCTAATCCACCAATAACCACCAGGACAGCAAGTTAAAAGCCGGAGACGCCCACTTTCCCGGCCTTCTGAAGTTTGCAAACTTCTGAAGCCTGCAAGGTGCATGTCGCTAACGCACCTGTTCGCAAATGCATGCGTTGTTCTGGAGGGGTCGCTTCTGCTCACGTGTTGCTCGTGCGCGTGGCCCGGCTGTCCTCAGTCTGGCTGCTCGTGGTCTGCTCCTGCTCCGCGTCCCTGCACCTGCTGTGGTTCGTGCGTCTCCACTGCTCTCTCTGCGGGCTCTTCTGCGGGCTGCTCCGCGGGGCCCCCTCCGCGGGTCCTGTGCTGCTCGTTCCTCGTGGTCTGCTGCCGCGCGCAGACGGTCTGGCGGTGCCGTGCGTGTCCCTGCCTCCGACTGGCGGTGCCGCGTTGTCCCGTTGCTTTTCCCAAGTCTCCTGGCATGTGAGTACAGTGAGTGTGCTGACCTGCGGACGGATTAATCCCTGAGTCTGGGCTGCAAGCGGCCGGTTTTTCCCTACGCACTTGACTACAGGCGCCAGTTTCGCCCCGTGCTTGGTCTGCAGGCTCCGTTTCACACGTGTTTGAGCTAACTGAGGGGCAATGCATCTTAAATGGCATCAATCTCTATTGTCTGAGGGATATAAAAGGAGCAATGTGCATTAATTCAGATTCATGTTCTGCCACTTGCAGTAAAACCACGTTGGAAAACATGTGCAAAGACTACCCCATCGTGCTCCAGACTGTACACACCAGAGCTCTTGCCACGGCGCCATCTT